CAAACCACTGACTAGTGCTTTACTTGTCCACCAGAAGCCACAGAGACATCTCTAAAAGCTGCTTTTCAGCCAGGTGGCTGCCATCCCAAACTGTTGCTTGGGCTGATTCTATCCCATTGCTCAATTACAAGTGTTTTCTAGCATATTTTTCCAGGCTGCTGAAGTTGGTTTCAATGACAGCCTTACCCTGTAGGTTATCATGTATTACCCAGGTCTGCAGTTGTCCATGACCTTGATGATGATGCAAGTCCATGCCATCATCCAGGTCACAAATGAAGATGTCAAACAGTATATTTTTTAAATGGTATGTGTCTCATGTCCCAGAAGTTCATTTTCTCTTACAGTAGGTAGATACAGTAAAGGGTTCTGCGGGGCTAGTGGCTGCTCCCATCATACCAGTTAGAATGAATAATGAGTATCTGTTTTTCAAAGAAACATTACTTCTTTTGATTTCATGTAACATTCATTTCTTATGCATATTCTGGTATTAATTTAGTGATCCATTTTGCAATGTTATGAAACCCAGAACAGTAACACCTCTTTCTTCTCATAAAAAAGAGTGAAACCATGAGCAGAATATATGCAAGACTCTAGACAGTGCTTCACACGTGAAAATATATTTTTCTATAATATTACCCACCTGCATTCTTCATAATATTTAGAAAAGTGGATCCAAAAGCATGAAGAAATCTCTGTAAACCAAGGGAATTCTAATGTCATCTTTTGAAGAAAAGAAAGCAAACAATGTCAACAGATTTTCCAGCGTTTATTGGTGGATAGGATATTGATACAGTTTTCAAAAAACAACCTGAACATTCTTTTTTAAGAGCTCATCCTTGACTTTTTTTCTGGTTTGAGAAACCTAGAAAGCATGTGTATGAGATAGCACTGTTCCTACCAGTGTTTTAATCAGTTTGAGTAAAAAAAGGTCTATTCTGTAAAAAATGGTTATAGACTAGTGCCCATAAATGTAGATTTGAAATAATTGCATCATTATGTTGTCTTATTCCAGTTGGTTTTCGTTTTGGTTTGGAACAAAAACTGCAGTGTGATGCAGTTGCCTCTCTCTGATTATTTTTACCTTGGTGTATTCTTTTGCTGGCTTGCTTGTATAGTTTATGTGCTGTCATTTGAAAAACAGTTAAAAACTCTTGAGATCCAGACCTGGCAATGCTTCAGGGTGTATCACTGTTCTTTATTTGAACATGTTAATTGTAGCAGCGCTTTGGGGGTTTAAGATTACTACTGAGCATAGAATGAACTCCTCATCTTTTAATATGGAATGTGATTTTGCTCCTCAGTCAAGCTAAAATCTGCTTACTGTTGTGATTACCATCTCTGGGCTCCACCCTGCCTTTCACCACCTGCCACTTAGAAGTAATTCCTTTGGCAATGAGAATTCAGCCAGAACTGTCAAAGAATTTTGCCCCTTTTTGAGATCCTTCTGATTATTATTCTTATTTTGTGGTGATATCAGATTTCCAAGGGTAATCTCTCACTAGAGGAGTATGTTTTTCTTTGGGACTTGCATCACCCTCTCATTTGTAGTCTCCATTTCAGAAGTAATGATTGCTTACTGAAAATATGCATTATGTGGATTTTCTATTATTTAATTCCATTACTTTCTGTGAGCACATCGCTACATTTCTAGGAAAAAGAAGATTCTTTAATCCAGGAAATAAGCCAAGGATTGAAAAGAGGGAAACGCTTTTCTCCCAACTACATACAAATACTTTTGTTGCTATCTTAGAAAAAAGAGCTTGCAATTCCTTATTATATATGGACTAAATTCAGTTCATGATAGTATTTCTGTTCTCTGCTTAAGCAGCAAAAACATTACAAATTAAAGTGCATTTTTAAAATACATAGAAAAAGTGTTTCTTACTAGATGGAACAACGTTTCCTTTTTTTCTTTATGGATGTTTGATGTCACTGCATATATAGAAACTGAAATTCAAAACTTCCTTCCTTAACACTTTGATGTTTGTGATACTATTAATTGCTGCTGGGTTCAGTTATAATGATTTGAGTAACTTAGCTTGGTCATGATAGGTCAGTGAGCTGTGGTCACCAGCATGTAATGCAGATGTCCTCTGAAGGCATGGAGGAAGAGAAGGTGGATGTGAAGGAGAGGGCCTCATGTTCACATAATCATCATAGAATCATAGAATGGCCTGGATTGAAAAGGACCACAATGATCACCTAGTTTCAACCCCCTGCTATGTGCAGGGTTGCCAACCACCAGACCAGGCTGCCCAGAGCCACATCCAGCCTGGCCTTGAATGCCTCCAGGGATGGGGCATCCACAGCCTCCTTGGGCAACCTGTTCCAGAGTGTCACCACCCTCTGTGTGAAAAACTTCCTCCTAATATCTAACCTAAACCTTCCCCATCTCAGTTTAAAACCATTCCTCCTTGTCCTATCACTATCCACCCTCATAAACAACCGAGGCTTCAGGAGAGACATGGGCCAATGCCATTTCCCAGTTGTCTCTTCAGCGGCAGGTTCCTATTTCCTCCTCTGTTGCTTCCTTGTGTCTTTGCCTCATAACTCCATCTTGGTCTGTTTTCATTTCTCATTTTGCCATCTATCTGCTTATATTATGTAATAAGCTCCAGAACACAAGGATCTTATCATTTTTAATAACTGAAGAAAGTTAGGCATATTGTACACTGGTTTTAACTCCTCTCCTCGTGTTCTTTCTTCCTTTCAAGATGCCAGTGTTCTAGCTGGAGAAATGGGATTACTCTTATACATTATATTCACTGGGGCAGAGGAGAAGGGAGACGTCCCATTCAGCTTATTTACAGTCTCTTGTCTTAAAAAATCTAGAAAACGTGCCAGTTCAAATAAATGTTGAAGTAATACATGAAATGTTGAAGAAATACATGACAGTCCCCTATTTTCAGTGCTTGATGCCTTTTTAAGTGCATATGTGCTGGTATGTATTGACAGTAGTTGATGTGGCTGTAAAACTAGGCAAAAAATGTACATTTCTAGTACTGTGTTCTGGATAGATTTCACATGGAGGGTCTACTTTCTGTGGTAATGATTGCTTTTGAAATGCATGTAATATCATTAATAAGTAAATATTGAAAGATTTGTATATTCCATGATAATTGAAAATAATACTCCTAAGAATAATATTAGTAAACCTTATAATCAAAGCCGACTTAAAAGAACATTGTAATTGAAATGTTTGTGTAGCTGTAACCCAATAATACACATCTTATTTCTAAAATATAAAATTTAAAGCACAACACAGCTGATTTTTTGTTTGTTTCTTTTTGTTTTCAAGTTCTAGGTTGATTTTCTTTATTTTCCTCAAATCTTGTGATCGCTTATCACTATGCAAATCTGATCTGATTTAAATGATCTCTTTAAATCATCTGAATCTCTTCCTTTCTGCTTCAGAAACCTGTATGTTCTTCTATAATGTGAGTGACTGGAAGTAATACAGTTGTCCTAAAGAACTTTTGGGTTTCAGACTGATTCCTAGCTAGCTTCAAATATAGTGGTTAAAAAAAAAAAAATCTGTAGCCACTGTATCATGTGCTATGTTCTCAAGTGATGTAGGCATGCTTATTGTCATTTTGGATACTCTCTTTTGGTATAGAATGAGAGATGAGAGAGGCTTTGTAAAAATCTTTGAGAAAAAATACTTCATGAAAACGTGTACTGTTTGTTTACATAGTAGCAGTGATAGTGCTTAGTTAAGCAGAACATATTTGTGAAGAGAAAACTTGTGCAGGATGGATATGTATGTGCAAAATGNGTGCCTTTCAGAAATGATATGCTGAAGTGGACTTCTTGTGATTGAATTTTTTGTGGTTGCTTGTTAAAATACTATCATGCCTTAGTACTGCTGTATCTTATGGTGTTTGCTGTGGGTGTGTTGGTTTTGCCAGCCTGGCCTGAGCACATTTTGCAAGTACAAATGTCTACAAATAAAAAGTGCCATCTGCATTCATGGGATGACAAGAAGGGGCAGCAGCCCCTCACAGAAGTGTAACTGACACCTTCAGGCTTCCCTGCACAATCCCATTTTTAAGCATCAGGTGAAACAAATGCAACTGGACCAAACATAGTTTAAACATCCAGTTGTACATCACAAGTGGAAGAAACAAGTTCATACTGGAGATGAATATGAGTAGGGAAGAGAGTGGGAAAGAGAGTAAACAGCAAATAGTGGACTTTTTAGAAGACTGAAGAGACTTACCAGCTGTCACCTTGTTAGATCTTGAAAATACCATAAAACATATGTAAGTAGAGAAAAACTGAAGTAGAGGCACTTTAGAATGAGGCAACAACTGAGACTAATCCTAGCTGTAGCCCTGAAATGAAATTAATATTTCCCCTCATATTTTAATGAGGATGTCATCAGACACAAAAAGTATGGCAGTGTGAGCTATTCCATCCAAGACAAACCCACAACTAAATGTGGACAGTCCACTTAAGTGAAAGGACCAGAGACTCTCAGTTATGAATGAGTTGAAGCACAGAGGCATAGACTTCTCATAAATCTGCTGAATAGCAATCATACGATTAGAGTGTAACAAATGTAAAAAGAAACTTTTTTGCCACTGCAAATAGAATAAATATGGTGAAGATAGTAGAAGTTTTCCCTAAAGATTTTGGAGAATATGGATTTGTCTGGAAGTTTTATCAAGCTGTGATTTTGTTGTGGAGTTAGAAAATGCTTTTTAAAGGAGAGGAACCAGAGTGACAGTGCTCAAAGAGCAGATGGATGCCTCTCCTGCATTGTTGTCCAGGGCTGGCTTGATGATGTGCTATGTGGAAGAACTGTGTCTTTTCAGCATCTATTTTGAGGTAACTGCTACATGTGCCAGTAGTGCTCAGTCTGTTGCCAGCAGGGAAGACGGTACATTTTTAAGAACTGCTAAAAATAATAGAATTTAAAAAATAAGTATTAACTCTGTCTTTTTTTTTTTTTTCTAATGGGACATTTTAGAAAAAGTAATTTTCTTATTCTCTTTCAGCCATGGAAGAGTTAATAGTAGAGCTGCGACTGTTTCTTGAACTTCTGGACCATGAATATCTGACGTCCACTGTCAGGGAGAAGAAGGCAGTAATAACTAACATTCTCCTGAGGATACAGTCATCAAAAGGTCAGTGTCAGGGGTGTGTTTTCTCGCTTGTAAGTCTGAGTTCAGTGAAATATCTTTAAGGGCTGAAGACAAGGTCTAAATTGAAGAAAGACAGAGAGGCAGGGTAAAGACAAAATGCAGCTTTCCTGAATGCTTTTCTCCTCAGTCAACAGTAAAATATAGCAAAAGCTATACTGGAAGTAACTTGATTGTGTATGAGTGAATCCAACCACAAAACTGCTAGATAGAATGCTTTCACCTCTGTTGGTATAGTGGTTACTTCATTTGAGGCAAAAATTCCATCCATTCATTTTGATACACTGTGTTATAAAAGTCTTGCGTGATGTGCTACATCTCTCTTGTGAGACCCAAATCAAGCCAGGGGGGGCTTGATTTTGCAGTGTATTCTGGTGCATGGCTGACACAGGAGTACCAAGCAAGAGATAGGAAATGACTGGCAACGTGTTTGATTTGCACTTTGCAAGCAAATTAATATCCACCTTCCCCTTCTCATCCTATCTAAAACCATTTTGATTGCACAATCACTTTGGTCTCCATGAAGGTTATGGATTGACTGGATAAATCAACCTTTCCATGGGGCTTTTACAAAAAAATGCTCCTCACTGTCTTTCCTAATATTACTCTTATATGTCCTTACAACACCCTTCTGTACAAAGAGGCATCAGGGCTATATGACTTCTGTTTCTCCAACAACTGACAGCAGTTTTGTCACTGTAAACACCCAACATTTAGGCTTTTGAAAAATGATTGGGTGCTTTGAGAAAAAATGCCATGCTGTGAGCAGCTGCATTTCTCATGTTTCTTCTCCAGTGCTAAAAAATACATTTCGGTTTTTGATGCAGTCTTCCCCTCTTCAATAAAGAAATTGAATTTGCCACAGGATTCAAGTCCAAGGAGATCAGCTGTGAAATAGTGATTGTCCTTCTTTCAGTTTTGACATTCTTAAAGACCTATCATTGCTTTTACTTCACTGATGAGTGAAAGAGGCAGGCATCAGAATCAGATGGTGTGGAAGGGAGCTTCATGCTCCAGAGGCTGATGAAAATACCCTGCAGTCCCCAGAACAAATGGCTGCAGGTAAGAACTTGCAGTTTATCATGTTTCATGGGAGTCCAAACAACAGTGCTGACCTGACAGTTTTTCTTTTTATGTTTTCAACACAATTTATTTAAAATACTTGACTTTTTCAATAAAGTTGTATGGATTTTTGCATCAGAGCACCTTACCACGCATATTTAATTTAAGATTACAGATGTGAAGAGGATAAAAATACTCAAGGGCCATAGCTTTTTACCTTTCAGCACCTACCTCTTAGGGTTTAGAGCCTATTTCAGGATCTGTAACAAGATCCATTACATCCTACTACAGGACTCATCCATTAACAAGATCCATGCCATATATTTAGTGGTGGGGCTTGGTTCAGTGCAGTTGTTAGTGGAACATTATACCCACTTCTAGCAATTGCATTCAAAGAAATATAGTTTAGGCATTTCAGAGGCAAGACATAAAGTGATTAAAGGATCCAGAAATATGCCTTCAAATTATCCTAAATGATGAATTGTAATTAATCTTGATGTAGAAAAGAGATGACTGAGAATGAGCTCTTAGATACAACAAAAAAGCAGTGTGCAATGGCTGGATGTTTGTTTCAGAGTGGAAATACAGCACATTTTTTGAACACTGAAGATATGAATTAATGGGAGAACTTAGTAAGATCTGCATGCTGTTGCTGGCATCTTTTCAAGTTATAATATTTTGCTAAAAGGTATGCTATAGTTCAAGCAAGAATTAATTAGAGGAAGCCCTATAGCTCAGTTAAGCAAGAAGTCATAGGATTATACTTTATATGCCTATAAACTCTAGTTTAAGGAGTTGTGGTTTAAATAGAGTTTAAGCCAGCACAGCCTCTAAAAAAAGCATCCTGTTAGTCTCCCCAGGCTACTCATTCTTGCTCATCATGTGTTGCTGCTTCCTTTCTGCTAACACAGGCATTGTTTGCTTTTTTTACTGGTTTATTCCTGACCAGCTCTGGTTCAACCTGAGGCCGCACACATGCCTATGCCAGCACAGAGGAGAGGCTGGTGCAGGATGGAATTCAGGCAGGAAAAGAGCGAGCTGCCTCCTTGAGAGCCATCTTGTGCTGCCTTAAATTGGCTGTGAGACCAGTAGAAGGAGTCATGCAGATGGACAGAGATGACCCTGCTGCTTTTTTTATCGGCTGTAACATTCAGTACTCCCATCCCTTTGAAACTATTCGTCTCTTCATTAAAATTAAAAGCAATAAAAGACTCTTAAGCCCACAGAAGTCTATAACTAAGCTGAGTTGTCATTCCGAGTCTGTTTTTCAAAACGTTGCTTTACTCCACCCACACAGCTCCATGAGCGCTCGCGGATCGCTGGCATGGTTTCACAGCCCGAGGTCGGTGCAGAGTTCAGGCTCGTTATAGGCATTTGAAAAAATCAACTGTGTGAATCCAACAGTGTATTTCAATTGCTGAAGTAAGCCATTTAAGAACAACAGGGAATGGTAATGAAGGTTCAGTGCAGCTGGGAACTGAATGGATTCTTTCTAACATCTGGAAGCCAACAGTTACGCTTTTCTTCATAAAGGTGTGGAAATTGTAATGGTTGTGTTTCAGTAAAACACTTTAGACTGTCGCTTTCATTTCAGTGAGTTCTTGGAGAAATCTTCAGAAATATTTTACATTGTGTTCTTACATCTCCTACATGCACACCACTCCCTTCACTTAATACCCATCAGAGGGAGCTGGACCAGTCAGATGTACTCTTCATGTTGTGGCTGCCAGGCCTCAACCTTCTGCGTGTCCAAACCAGTGGTCACCTTCAGGAGCCGGCAAAACTATAAACTTTGTTTTTCTTCTGAATCTTGGCATGCTCAAAGTACTGTAGGTCTGAACAAAACACTTGGCATTTCCTTGTGAAACTCAGACTTCCTTCTAAAAAACAAAGGCACAAACAGTTGATTTTTGAGTAAGAGCTGTTAGTGGATTCATTTAATATGACCATCATTGTTGCTGGTTTCCCTTAAAGGGACTTGATGTCAGAAATTTATAATAGTGACTCTGATGCAATTTGTTAAAAGGATGAAAATATTATAGCAGGTTCTTGCTAAAGCACACGTAGTTTTGGGTGAAAACTAGGTTTACAGAGTGAGTAAAATCCACTTGGAATATATACATATTTTTCATCAGTAAATTGTCCTTCATACTTGAGTTTTGATTGTTACGGAAAGCATGGGAACATGAATTCATCCTACATAAGGAGGAACAAGTAAAACTGAAAAAAAAAAAAACAATACAAAAAACAACCAAGTGAAAAAAAAAAGAAAATCGGAATGTTTCCCAAGACTAATCTGATTTGTAGGAAGAAAGAAGGATCTGAGGCCCTTAGAGACAGTTTATTTTATCGGTATTATTTTTCAATCTATAACTTCACAGCCAATGGATCTGGGTTATTGTGACAAGAAACATTTCATCATTAATTACATTTTTGAGAATTACATGATCTTGACCAAAAGACATTCATTTGACTATGTAAATATACATTTTAAAAAGTTAACTAAACACTATGAACTTAATTCAGTCTAGAAGTAAGTAGGGATGTCCCATTGGCTGATTTTTTTGCCAGAGCATTGAGATGCACCCTCCCCTTGATATTCAGAAAAATAAACAATGCCATGTTCCTGTGAAGTGAATTTGAATGGAATTTAAATTATTGTGCCAAAAACAGCAGAACTAGTGGCTTTCCCAAGGGAGGAAGTAGACTCTGTTTTATCTGCTATATGCTGCTGCTGAGACTCTTCAGATTGTTAAGCGGGATATCTTCCTCATATCATTGGTTTTATCTGTGAAACATGCCTGACAATGTTTGAATTGTAGGTTTTTCAGTTCCAGATGGGTAGGCAGTTCAGCATGATTTCCAGTACATTTTTTCTCTGTCTGGTATTTGTTGATTCAAATATCATATATGTCATTATCATATACAGTAAGTATGTGTTTGCTGTGCTTGATTAAATTCCTGAATTCCCAGCATACTTCAAGTTTTTCCTCAGTAACCAGGGTTGGGAGGCAGGTTGTGAGCAGGACTGAATGCCAGATTCCAGTGGATGGTGAGCTACATATAGAAAAATGTCCCATTTGCATCCACCAAAGTGATAAGCAATTTGTGTTTCTCTTCTGCAGGTTTTGAAATAAAAGAACATGTGCAGAAAACAGAAGTTGCCAACAGCCTGCCAGCACCTCCTCAAATGCCTCTGCCAGAAATACCTCAGCAGTGGCTGGTGAGTGTTAATTTAGGTATATCAGTATATATATGAGAGAATGTTTTTGTGATAAGCACTGGCAGAAATGGTTACAAAGGGAAGGAGCCTGTAGGTCCAGGGAAATGTTTATTCCTATCAGCACCAGTCTGGTTTAGAGAATTGTGTTCAGCTTGCAGAAGAGAAAACAAAAAAAAATCCCTTGGGGTGAATTAAGTGTGAGTCCCAGTCTTTGTCCATGTTCAAGATTAGAGTGGCACAAGCCTGAGCAACTTAACTTCAGAAGTCAGTCAGTCTTGTAGAGATTGTTGCCCTAGCTGAGCCCATGGGTCATGGCCAGTTTTGTAGGATTTAAGGACCTGCTTTCCCTGTAGCAAGTCTTACGAGAAGATTCCCTCTTGTTTCTTGAAAAATTAAAGTACGAAGTGCTAAAATACAGGAAGAATGCTTCATTTTTTTCATAGAATCCTTAGTGCCTTTCTGTGCTCAGTCTTCGGGCAGGAAATTCCTGGCAGAATAAGCAGCAGTGTAAGTTCTTGGTGATGTTTATAATAAAGATACTGTCTGCAGATTCAGTTCCTGCAGTTGGGAGCAGCTGTCTTGTAAAGAAATGAACTATCAACAAGTTTTCATTCTCTGTGAATGCTCAGTTGCTACTTTAGAGTAGATTTGAAGAAACATTCACAACCTTTTTTAGAGAGGCATATGCGAACAATGGTCTATCATATTGAAAGGGGAATGTAGTCTTAGCCTTAACATTGATAAATTATCTGTCTTTTTATTAATTTGTGGAAAATATTGTGCACTGGTAAGGATAATCAAATGCTGTACTATGGAGACCTTCATTTATTAATCTGAAGTGCATGGTGAGGGGAAAACCCACCAAAACTAGAACCCATTCTTCTTCATTTTAATGTATTACTCTGTTATTACATCTCTGCCCAGTAGAAGCTTACCTAGTCTACAAGCCAATAGCATCTTATGAACCTAAGAACTAGCTTATCAGATCAAATTCTTTGTCAGCTCTTCTTAATAAACCTTTTTGATAGTGAGTAATGCTACACACTTTCACACAACAGAACACATTAAAAACAAAGAAGGATTTTATGTAAAATGTCTTTATCGTAGTTTCTCCCTAAGTGCTGTCAACACTTGGTTTGTGACCTGGAACAAGATTTTTTTTTTTTTTAATTCCACCTAATACAAGGAAATATTATAGAAAGGGAATATTTATGCTAGAAACATCTGAATTGAGAGCTGGTATATCTACAGTAGCAAGAGTCACTTAAAGTGGATGCTAAAAAATAATTATGCATGAAGTTGAGTGGATGCAAAAGCAATCTTATTAATATGCAGTGAAACCTGGGGAATCCATTTCATGGCTAACAGTGCCTGAAAATGATTATTTTTTTCTTTAATTCAAGATGCGTATAGCATAAATCACAAGGGAAATGGTTGATGAGAGGGAGAAAAATTATGCAAAATGCACACGACTTTGACATGTAGACTTCATAAGCTGAAAGCCAATTCACTTCCTTGTTCTTTTGTATTTAAATAGGTTCCGTTTAATAAATTAGTTCTGAAGATTCAAGTTGTTTTTTTAAAGACAATAAACCTACTTCTCCTTTCTCATATTAATGTGTAAGTTCCCTTAAAGTACAGCTGCACTGGGTGAAATGCTGTGAAGCATGAATTAGGTCCAGTAGATCAGCAGTTTTTTGCAGGAGTTATATTCAGCTTAGGTTTCAGAGAAACAGAAATAGTGTTCTGATATACAGTGAGGATTAATGTGGAAGCTGGCACAGTTAAAGCTGCCTGCTCTTAAGCATGTCCTTATTCTTTTGAGTCTGGCAAAATGGTGTTTAGACATGACCCTCCTCCTTGACCTGCCAGTAACAAGGCAGACACTTTCATCTCAATGAAGTCAAAAAGCTGAGCTGTTTTTTCCATAGTAGTGGAAGCTGATTTTTATTCCTGCAGTTCCGGTGTTGCTGTCAGACTGCTGTGGTTCATGCCTCTACCTCAGTTGTTAGTGCCACTTTGAGATCAGCAGGAAAATGTTCCAGGCTTCTCACTGTCTTTCCTTATCCAAATACAGGTTATGAGTGACTTTATTTTAAGACACTTAACACGTTGTAATTTGTGAAAAAGATGACAGGCTACTGTTGTCCCACAAAAGACCAGGTGGAGCCAGAGTGGAAGGCCAAACTATCTAGTTTTTGACTTTTGGACAATGTTGCAAGCTCAGACCCCAATCTGAGTGTTCAAAAATTTATCCTGAAGTCATGTTGAGCTAATGGAACTGATCATTAACTGTTTCTTGGAAACCTTTCCCTGCTAGATGCTTCTTTGTTAGACACTTACTATTATTAGATATGACCATATACTTTTGCATCATCTTTCTTCTAACACTAGATTTGACATCAGTGATAGTGTCTGAGATCTGATTTTTCCTTTCATTAATGCTGCTGCATGGTGATTTTCAATCCACCCATAATCAGTGGGCTCCTAAAACTGTGTATCTTGCCAGTCTCTATAGAAACTGTACATAATTACATGATTCAGTGATAGTGATGTGCTGCCATTCACAGCAACTTTTTATAGACCAGACTTTCGCATTCCAGAGAAAGAAATCCATTGGGCCCACCAGAGAATAGGAAATTCTGCACCAAGATGCCCCTCTTCACATTACAAGTTGGAAATTGTGTTGTATGGCACTTTGTTTAATCAGCCATTCAGCACATTCAGCACAACTTTTCCATTTGCTGAATAATATCTAGTGGTGGTCTCAGTCTCCAATAGAAACACAATGTGCTGCTGGAACACAGGAATTTACTGGAAGTGGGAATTAATAAGTTTAAATAAACTAGTACTGTTTTAAAATCTAAGTTTTTAGCACAACAGTTACTGAACATGATGGAAATTAAAGTTTCATTTACACCACTGTTCCTTTTTATGGCGCTCAGGGGAGTGCATTGAAAAATGTTTAGTCTGAATTGATGTTTAAGCTTTTACTTATGTAAAGACGTGTGGGTGGGAAGGAATTCAGTCCTCCTTAAAGTAGTGCCAGGAGCCAGAATTATGTGTGGGCAGGTGCTGTGCAAGGTTTCCTTTGCAGATCTGTAAATAGACTTGCATATTTGCTCAGGCTGAATTTTATATCATTTTTATCATCCATCAGTCTGTGAACAAAGATAATAAAATTCATTTTATTTAGAGACATGCTGTTAATATTTAAAATGAAGTCTCCACTAATGAAAATGCACCGAAGCCCAGAGTGTATTCCTAGACTCAGTGGGCTTTGGCCAGGTCTTTAAATCCAGGGACAAAGTTGGACTTTACATATACTGGAATAAAGCACAAATCACATGATCTCGTAGAAATTCTTTTTTTCTCTTTACACTCCCTTGCATCTATCTGGTATAGCAGACTTTGTGTCAGGCTTAGATGGAACCAGTCCTCCCTTGCTTTACCCCATGCAGACAGCTCCTCCAGACAGCCAGCAAAGTAGAAGCTACAGGTAAAGGATGTGAGCATGAGTGGGATCTCAGAAGTCAACTCCACTCACTTACAAATGAAAATATGTACTTGGTAGCATGGATGCAGGGCTAGCAGCTAACGAAGCTTTGCCTGAGACAGCAGCAGAGGAGATGATTGTGTGAAACAGAGTTGAGTTGGTTCTCCATTCTTGAGTCTTCTTACCTGTGTATTTTCACCTGTTTTCTCACTCTCCAAATCAGCACCTGGTTTTATAATGCATCCCTGCACTGAAAGGACAGGCAGGAGGTAACGCTAGATGGGGGTTTCAGAGAAACAGCAGAGCTCTGTGATACCCCTCACAGTGCTGCTGGGGGTTTAATGCCTGGGATCCCATCACTGCACTACCGCTAAGTTACCTTGAAGTACTGAGGCAACAGAACGATATCCAGGACATCCTGCTGCTCTTATGCACCAGAAGAATACTGGCATAAATTATCCACAGCATGACAGTGACAGAACAGTCCTAGCCTCCAAGCATTTGGTTCCATATTACATCTGACAATCAGTGATTTCAGCACACTGTGCCATCCAAGAAAATCAAATACGAACAGCACGCTTAGCTCTTTTGCATGATTTTCACAGTAAAATTGGATATACGTTTTGTTTTTCCTGGAATATTGACAATTTAATAATTATTTAACCACAACAAGTGTCCAGCAATATGCCAGAACCCCTGTAGATATAAATCAAAAGGATAGGTCATCTTCCTCCAACCCTTTCTTGAAACACACACAGTCACACTGTAGGAGTGTTTCATATAAATGAGTTTCCTATTGCGGAGATTTGACTTGACAAACTCTTTATCTGGCTGCCTGTCTGATATTACTCTCAGATATTTATTAAAAAATGTTGAAAGGAGACAGTGTCCTTGAAGCAGAAAATAATGACCTGAAATCAAAAGGATTTTTAAGGTGATGCATCATCAATCACATTATTCATTTTTTGAACAAACAAACAAACATAAGAAGTGCTAGTTTTAACCATCTTTTCAAATGTGCATTTATGTTTATGTCAAACAAAAGCAAGGGGAACTTTGGTAAATCTATCTTAAATCACTCTCTTCCCAGATTCCATTTCTCTGCATTGTGTCTAATAAAGGCTCTCTTAGTTTCATTTCTGAGGTATAAATTCCTCCTCTTAAATTAGTTCCCATATCAGTGTCCCTCATTTGCTCTAGTTTTGTAATCTTGTTTGACCAGAAGTCACCAGAAGAGGGGTCCCCTGGGCATGGTTTGGATGTGGAGTAGTTTCCATGTTTGCGTATGTGACCTCTATCAAGGACTGCTATAAAATTCCTAATGCCATAGCTTTGATAGGGTATTGTCCCACTTCTTTTTCCTAACATACTCACATTTGTGTTCTGAGGTTTTTGATTTCTTCTTTCTATGCTGTACTTGTTCATAAAAACACCTTCTCTATGCTGACAGAATCATAGAATCACTAAGGTTGGAAAAAAACACTAACATCATCTAGTCCAACCA